TAGAAAAATGTGAAACAGCTTCTTTGCACCTCTTCATGTATGACGGTTGACCAGAGTCAGAACAATATTGAATGATGAAATGGGAGTATTGTGTCAAGCCACAGCAGTGAAATAGCCAGTATATGAAATTGCAGAACAAACACTGGAAGGAAGCCAAAAATCTACCATGTTTACATGCAACGTGTATTGTGAACTTAATCATATTGCAAGTGATTGCTTGCTTGAACAAAAAAAGAAGAGAAACAGTTAGGAATGAAGACCAATGTAAGAAATATGTTGTTATTGATGCTTAGCATTGAATTGCACTTCATCAGATTGTCTGAGAAATTGAATGGCTGAAGGATGGAAAAGACATTAGTAACAGTTTTCTTTCCAAGCCAAACCTGAATACAGTGCTACTTGTAAAATTAGTTCCAGATTGATGAAACACTGTGCATGACTTTTGCGCATTCTAGATGGTTCTACTTGATTGAGAGTCATTTTATCAGCTATGAAGAAGGATGGAGACATGATGCCTGTTCATAAGAAAACTTACTTCCTACTCCACAGCCCTTTGCATATGCAATGTGAATTCATTTATAGTTGAAGCTTTAAAGTAGACAGAAATCTATTAGCATTCAACCACTTCCTCAATAAATATTATTAAGGCATTGGACGGCATTCAATTCAATTGGATACTGTGTGTTTAGCCAATTGAATCAATGGACCACATTTTGCACTGCTGCCTGAAAATAGTTGGATACATTGGGAGACAAAGAAGCTACACAATGTGCCTTTGACTTCAGGCCACACTGAAAAGAATGAATTAGGTTCTTCAATGGCATTAATAAAGAAATATAATCATTCTAATGACATCTGAACAGAACAGTTTTTCTTTGACAATTATGAAAATTCACTGTGGTGGGTTTTTTTTTTTTTTTTTTTTTTTTTAAATTTTTGGATGCCTCAAAAAAAATAAATTCTTAAAAAATAATCAGAGAGGTAAATAATTTTCATTAAGAATAATAAAGATTAAAAAAATGAATAATTTCACCAGTTGAACTTGTACATTTTGATTCACTTGAGGGAATGTCTCCTATTTTGCACTTTATCTGAGGCTGTTTTGTCCAGACCACAGTATATAAACCATACATTATGTTTGTAAAATATATGCTAATGGAATGTTTGTTTGTTTTTCCTTTTTTATTGCATTCATATCAGACTTAGACATTTGTAATTTTATAGAACAGTTATCATTTTCACTCTCACTCAGAATACAGTATTATATTAAAAGGAAAAATAGTGTCAATCATTAGCTTTTGTGTATGTAAATCAGTCAAGTAGATAAATATTTATCATTAATAATTTTCAAGATGTCACATTCAAAACTCATTTTATGTCACCTGAAATGAAATGATTTTAAGACATTTAAAATCTGTAACAATATCACACTGATATATTTAAATTCCACTTTAAGTTGAATTTATGTCTATATTTGACATACAACCTTCATTTTTAATTCATGTAGATATACGTACACATTTTTCTTTCTTAATATTAAATAACCTGAAGATATTTTTCAATAAAATACTAGGCATTTGTTAGCATTTCAGACATTACTCCAGTTATGAGCTGATTATTTTTTAAACCAACCCTATTGATGCTTGATACATATCTGTTGAACCAATTTATTCTGTTAGTATTGTCTTCATTCTTTATTTACTTCCATTGGAATATTTTCTATTTTAATGATATATTATTTCTGTCTTAAAAAAATACTTAGGTAGCATATGATAGCATTTGTTTTTTAATTTCTGTATTTATGTAATAAAAAATGTTTGAATTCTACTTTATGAGCTAGAAAACTTTTTCCTTTTCTTTTAATCTTTTTTTCTTTCTCTATGCAATTATCTTGCTAATGTTTTCTCTATCATTTTCAATTTTTAGCTGGAATGCCAGTGTATGCTTTTGTCACTTTCTTTGCAAAAGACTGTATAAGTACTTGCTTACTTCATCTATTACTGGTGTTTGCACTTTGCTTTTATCTATAAAATAATTGATTTTAAGACTTCAATGATTTCCACCATTTAAAAACAAAATGTGTGAGTCTTATTATAGATAATACATTGTGTGTGTGCCTGTAAGTAACGATTAAAAAAAAATCAATGAAACATTTGTTAGTGTTCATTATTATACATTTGGAAAAAAAAGAATTGGCAATTTTCCTATATTAGAAAACTTTGTTACTACTTTGTACAATAACACATTTTTTAAAATATTAAGCTTAGTTTGTAAGTCCCACTCCCCTGAAAATAATAGAGGAAATGCATTTTAAACTATGTTGGTACATCATTATATCGAGTCTAGTGGTAAACAAAAAAAAAATTATAATTACATAGATCAAAATTCAGCTAAAAAATGTCAGGCTACTGACTTATCATCACATCTTTGTACAATAAAGTATATAAACCTCATATCAGATCGGGTAACACTTAAGCAAATTTCCAAAGTCACCCATTTTCCCTTTTGCTTTCTGAAATGTCATTTTACCTAATTACAATAATCAGGTTCTTTTCCCACACTTCATTGTATCTTTTCATTTTAAAAATAATTTTCAACCTAGTTGGCTAAAAATGCTATTATTGTTATTAAAATGTCTAGCATAGATCAGGTCAGTAGATCTTTGTTACCATGGTAATTGAGTCAAATAGGTCAATAGTCAGACGGTTGAGTTCCTCTGTAGTCTGAGCCAATGTATTCTGTCATTTACTTATTATATTTATGTATACTTCACATTTCATTGTGACTTCCTCACTCCAATTTTCTTTTCCTAGTGTCTTTATTGCATTTTTTTGTTTGTTTGTTTCAAGTGACTACTGGAAATATGTGTTAATTTCTTTATAAAAGTTAAGGTCTGTTTCAATGAAAAAGGTTGATGTTAACATAGTGAAACCAAGAAAATTGAAGTCTTTTTAAAAAATACTTATTTGTGTGACTTTTTTCTTTTTTTAATAGGAACATTCATGTTTGAATTATATGTTGCTCTGTGAATTGAACATATTCTACTGTTTCAAATCAGGGGGAAAAGAGAAAATTTGCTTAATATTCTGAAAGCAGTAGGTCTCGATTTAGCCATTTGCATTTCTTTTCTAAATGTCAGGTGTTTAGTAACCTTAAAATGGGACCCACTACAAGAATAATGATCTGTAAGGATAGCTTGCTGAATTTGCTATTTACAGTTATGCACCTAATGTTGTTTTTAGTCAAAGTGACAAACACTGTCTTTATTATGGTTGAATCTGCAAGAAAGTGAACCATCTTAGCTATCTATTAATCACATTCAGTATTTGTCTGAAGTAAGCTATGAAAACAATCTTATTTGCTTAAGTAAATAAATGGATGTGTATTGTGGTGTAATGGATATTGGCTCCATGTGAGAACAGACTGGATTCTTTAGCCTTGGTTGGCAACCAGTCTACTGCAGAAAGAAATGGTAACCTACTATGGGAAAAAAATCTGCCTTGTCAGTCATGTATCAAAAGATACATGGTTGCTCAAACGTGCATCACGTATGGCACTTAAATGACTGAAATAAATGATAAAATGGAAAACTGTTATGACATATTTCATTTAGAATAAGTATCTTCAAAGAACTGGTTTATTGATGGAGTCTATCCTATATACAATGAACGCTGGTTACAGTTTACATCAAGACATAAAGACATTTTTTTTTTTTTTATAGTGAGGTTTATCCTGTACAAGACTTGGGGAACCACTTGAGTTAGAGACTTACTGAATAAGGGGCACAGTTCATGCACATGTGTGGATAAGATAACTCTAGACTTGAACAGTTTAAGATTGTTATGATTAGGAAAACATCTCTTGAGAGTCAGTTCCACAGAGCAGTGCTTTGCAGGAAGAAGCAGCATGAGTTAAACTTACTTCTCACCAATGGAATCTGAAGGAAATGAGGGTTGTTTGCTATGATGTGTGTAGCATGGCAGGACTTAGCCATGAAGGTTAGAACTGGTGGAAGTAAGGAATGTAAGTTGTCTGAGCACTTTTCATGGAAATAGTGATGAGCAGTGAGAGTCTTGTGACATTTCATCTATGATAGAGGGCTTGCAGAGTGGAAAATAATTTGTCACCCACAAGGATGAGGAGATGCTTTTGGACTCTATTGTGACTGTAACGTTAGGACTGGGTAGCTCCTGACCAAATATAGCAGTAGTAGTCCATTTTAAGCTCGATCTGGCTTCTTTGAAAAGTAAAGGATAGCACAAGGTACTTACTGGAGATATACAAGGAACCGACCATTTTTCCAGCATTTTTAACAATCTGGGTTGACTTTCAGGCCCATTTAAATTGTTGATGTCCAATATCTAAATTTTAAAGTTAGTCTTATTTAGCTTTTTATCACTTTTATTTTTTTTTTATCTATATTGCTTTTAACTAACCCACATTTCTAAAGAAGTAATGAATTTGCATTTATTAATCTGACAGATTTTATCACTTAAACGTTATTTCTATTGGGTAGCGCCTACTCAAATATGGGTATCCCACAGTGTATTAAGGAAATATGATAAATTGTATGATCATAGAAATAAATTTACTGTTGAGGACTTCAAAATTAGTACACTTTTAGCCTCAATAAGTTTCTGTTATCCAGAGGTATATTTTTAAGGTAAACTCAAGGTCAAGGATATTACAATGAATGGCTAATGCATTGAATGTATTGTTTTCTAAAAGATCCTTCTGTTCATATAAGATTTTATTTAAATTTCTAGTGTTTTTCATCAGAGATATGGTTTACAGTTTAGTTTGTAAATTCCTATTTCATTGTGTATTATTTTGTTTTGATTAAATCCCATTTCTTGTTCTTTGAAGTAAAAATATTCTATTAAGATTCTATTATTACATTATAAAGCAAATAATTAAAGTAAATATATTGAAAATCTTTTATGAAACATGGTTGCCATACCTTTTTTTTTTTTTAATGCTTCATTTTCATATATTTGCAGTGGCCATTTGCCCGTTTCTATGGCATTCAGGAACCAGCTTCTGCCATCTTTTCCCTTTTTAATGGTCTTACCCACATGATGATCTTCAAATTCCGAGCCAAGGTGTCGTCTGCTGCTCCCATGTATTATGCATGGCATGCCATGGCAATTGTAAGTTTTCACTTTGCTTTTTATCTCTTTCTCTCTCTGTCTTTGCAAATAACTTTTATTCTCTTTGATAAAACGTCTCAATTAACAATCAAATAAATAACAAGACAAATATAAAAAGCGTGACAAAAGAGTGTGTGTGACGTTTTTAAGTAAATGTTCATCTAATACAAGGCTTAAGAGCCGCTCAAGGTAGTGGGTCACTGATGTTGTTGTATGGATGCAAGAGGAGAAAGTGCAGATTATGAGGATATGTAGGATAGTTAACCATTAACTCAAGACAAGGCTAGCATTGTAGTGAGCAGGAAAGCATCTATTTGGGAGTCTGTTCCACAAAGTAGTGGTTCTTGGAAAGAAGCTCACTGTGTGAAACTTCCTCCTTATTAATGGAAGATGAAAGAATGTGAGATGATTTAAACTGGAATAAATATGTGGAATGGATCAAGAATTTGGCAGTACAATCAAGCAAGAATTAAAGAAATGAATAGGCACAGGTAAATGAAGAAGATAGTAAATAAATTTAAAATTGGTAGGCCACTGAAAGGTATGCCAAAAAAAAATGGGATGGGGGAGAAAACATAAAATTGAATGGAAGTCAAGAAAAGAAATGCTGGAAAACTGTGGTTGAAGAGAAAAATAAAATTTACTGCCCAGCACAGTGAGTGAACTTACAACCTTCAGTTAACCAGCTAGTGACTTCGGTTTTTAATAGGGATATCACCCTTATTGACTGGAATAAGTTCACTCAGTAAAGATCTATAAAAACTAATGTTATTTTTTTTTTTGCTCTCTAGCGAGTGGTTTGCCTGTTGCCTGGAGAACCTTTGTCAGTTAGGATTGACCCCTCACTAAGGATTTTTCCCAGTTGCTCGATAGCTGAGAGTGTCAAGTGGAAGAGAAGAAAGAAAACTCTTAATTTAAACTACAATCTATTTCAGTGCAGAATTCAGACCAAATTCCAGTCTGGTTTGGCAGTATGTTTGGCCTTTACATTTAACCAGCTGATACCTCCACAAATTCTTGGAAATATGAATTTGTAGATAAGCAGATTTTAGATCCACAATCATTCTCTTTGCCTCTGCCTCAATTCATGCATGGTCTCCACACACACATTTGTTGTCTTACCTCCTGTGTGACAAGTTATATATATATATATTTAATTCCTGATAATCCAGCACTGGCCAAACTTTTTTCTTTGTCGGCTGAACAACTACATCAGTGGTAGTACACCTACTTTTCCTATTCAAGGCATCAGGATTCCTTCCCAATCCAGTGCTCCATGTTCTTTTAGAATTCTGCTTTTACCTCTCCTTGAAACAACTGATTCTCACTTGTAGACTGAACTCTTTGGTCAGTTCCTTAAGCATTCCTAACCGATGCTTTATGAACATCTTTGCAGATCCTTTTATTCACGCTCTCCTCTCCAAGTTCAGATTTTGCATCTTCAGTCCTCTCTTCTTTTGCAACTTGTGGCTGTCTGCAGCTTCCACCTATAGCAGCTGCTGTCCCTTGCATATGCTCCTTCTGCCTGGCCAATACTCTGGAACAAGTTATCAATTCGCTCATCTCAGGCAGCTGTTGCATAGCTATCACTTGTAGTTTAAATAGACTTTAGCCTTTAATAGAGATGTTATCCCTATTGATTGGAATAAGGCCAACCAGTGGAGATCTGTAAAAGCCAATGATTTTTCTCTCTAGCAGGTAGTTTGCCTGTTGCCTGGAGAACCTGTGTCACTCAGGATTACCCCCACCCACTAAGGATTTTTGCCAGTTGCTCGATTGTTGAGTGTCAAGTGGAAGAGAAGAAAGAAGACTCTTATTTAATTTAAACTACAAAAACTTTATAATCTAATTTTTTTTAAGTTTCACAATTTTTCCCTTTAACACAAACCTCAACTGTAGCACAACATGACTTTAGAACCAGCACAAACTAAACCATAAGTCACAGCAAGACACATAACTGTTGTGAATTGCATTGTCGTGTGTTACACATGAACTTTGAACTAATGTGAATTGTCTCATAAATCCATTAAGTGAGTGTGCTTGTTATTCTAGAAAGTCCCTAAGCAAACTGAGGAACTCTCTCTTGTGCTCAGCTTAAATATAGTCATTTGCATAGACAGCAAATTGACACTACTGAATACTTATTAGCTATTTCCACCATCTGCAACAATAATTGCATGCTAATTGCAGCCATTGCAGTGCTAATAAGGACAAGTTGAGAACTTTATCTCTGATTTGTCTCTCATGTCAGGTGAAGTTATAACAAATAAATGTTTGACAAAAGACACAAGATTTGAGAATGATTGGTAGGTTTCTTTTTAAGAGACATCCATAAAGAAAATTGAATGAAATGGGCAACAGAATTTATGAAAACTTATTCTTCACCCATTCTTTTCAAAGAATGTTGTACTACCCTTGATGAAATCGATGAATAGTATAAATTAAGGTGACAATATATCCTGGGGTATGATTAGAATTGGTGAGCTTATAGCAATTTCTAGATGATGTTAAGATGACAGCTCATCCAGTCATTTCTCTTAAGGCAAGGATTCATGATTCACAAAGCCAAATTCTTTCAGAAAAATGACAATGCTCCATCACATGTGGCAACAAAACTAATGAATATATTAGTAAAATGGGTTCCAAAAATATTAATTTATTGAACTATCTGTCTTGATCACCCAATCTTAACCGAAAACTTGAGGACAATTCTAAAAAGGAACTTACCATCAAAGCTCAACTTTGTAATGCTGTGTAGTGTGTTTCATATGAAGTAATACAATACACAAAACCAATGGATGAATGACTTGAAAAACTAGTTTCAGAAAAATGGAGCATGCATTTCACATGTTGTCTTTATAACAATATCATTACAATGTTAATGTAATTCTCTGTATTCCGTTGGATATTGTCAGTATTGCTGAAAGGGAAGCCATCTAGTCTGGAAAGTGCATAGCCTGCATATACCATCACCCAGGCCTGTATCCTGGTGTGATCACTCCAGTCTCACCACCAAAGGACTGAATTTTGACCAAACAGGATGCTGCCATTATCTCATGAGATAAACCAATGCCAATGACTATCATTACAGTGACACTGTTTTTAATATTTTCTTCAAAATATTTGTCCTTTTAAATTGCGCACAGATTCTATAATTATGATTTTTAATAATTACATGTTTGCTGGAGTTTCACTTATCTAGCAAATATTGTGGAAAGGGGAAAATTTGTTAAAATTCATAACCATGTTACAACTTTGTCAGAAAGAGTGTATGTAAAATATCTTATATATTCTGTAAATATTTATGCGAATCACTTTGTTAGATTTTTATAAGACAATCTGGTTAAAGTCAAGCAACTAATAAGCAAATCTATAGTACTGAAGGGATATTTCCAGTAGTCATTCTTAATTCACCAAGGCAAAATATATACATATTAACAACTCCATTCAGTTAAGATCAGAGAATAATGAAAGGGCATTTATTAAAATAAAGTTATTTTCTACTTTAATTATTGTTAGCTAAAAATCTTAGCTTAAAATCCTAAGTGTTAGGCACCAAATGAGGATTGACCTCACTACAATACTAATTGGAATGCAAGACTAAGTTGTTTACCATTGCTCTATGGTGAGGCACTGATGTAGGCTTTTTCTCCTATTATTAAAACTTATCAGGTTTGCCATAATCATTTGGGTATTTGCCTAAAACAATGTAACTCCTCGTTAAAAGGGTAAGTTTTTGTTTTTTTTTTTTGAGAAAATGGTGAACATGAAGTAAATTTTATCCAAAGTCTCAACACTCTGAATATGGGATTCACACCCCACTTGAGTGAGAGAGAGAGTGTGTGTGTGTGTATATATATATATATATATATATATATATATATATATATATATATATATATATATATATATATATATATATGCTTTATTTGCAATCAATATGCACAAGATGAGGTTATATGACAAGGGAGGTAATTTCATGTGTTATACTCTCCTTTATAATAACTGGTTTATTTTATAAGGCTTTTACTTTCAACATGCCCTTTTATCGAAAATACACATTCTAGAGTTATAAAAAAACTCTAGAATGTGCCTTTTCGATAGAAGGCATGTTGAAAGTAAAAGCCTTATAAAGTAAACCAATTATTGTATCCACAGAAAACAAATCTTGAATAACTGCCTCCTTGGATATTTTTTGTATTTAATTTTTGTGATCATTTGTTAAAACATTGAAAAGGCAGAAAACCTACTGCAGTCTTAATTTGGACTCTATCTCTCTCTAATAATGGAGAGGTAACATTTAGTCAGGGTGTTGGGTTTAAAATTTAAATTTTATTTGATTACAGATTGGCAGCACTAACAGCTACTATTTTCCTTTTGAAGTAGATTCTGAAATTAAAATACCTTTCCAATTGCAAATTCAGTGAAATGATTCTAAGGGGTTACTGAAATGTTCTCAGCTGGACCCACTTCCCAAAATCTGACCGAAGGTTTTTTGTTTGTATTTTCATTTATTTCTCTTAGTTTTTTCTATTTTTCTAAATTTTTTATTTTTTGTAATTTTTTTTTTTAATTTTTCATTTTCTTTCCAATTTTTTCCTTTTTTTTTCCTGCTTCTTGATCAGAAATTTTCATACCCTCTTGTAAAATTTGTTTCTTTAGTAATCAAGAAAATTTATGAGACGAACCGCTGTCAGTTATTCGTTTTTGACCATTGGCTACACAAGCTGAAACATTATTAATTCTATTAGTGCATATAATCAAAGATGACAATGTATCAGGTGTTCATGGAAAATATAAAATAAAAGCTGTTATCAGTGGTATTTATAGCCAAATTGATAAAAACAGCTGCTCTGGACAAGCAAATTTACCAAGGAAAACTGGAAAGGTTTATTCTTTATTTCCAGACCATGCTGGTTACCAACAAGTGTAGAATGGCAGTTTCATTGTTGCACTGAAAAGCAGGACATAAAATGAAAGATATTAGTAAAAAAATTAATACTAATTGGAAATTCTTGTGTTAATATAGAGGTATAAATGCTTTTCTTTTTTTTTGGATGGATGGTGTACATAGTATAGCAGTTATTTTCATAGAAAGAATTAGTATGTCAAATTCAAAGCCTATTATATTTGCTTTTGCAAAATACCCTTGGTATAACACCCCCTTTGCAACAGGGTCACATCCTTGGTAACTGACACCAAATAATGTAACCCCTTTCACTGCCGCCTACACTCTGTGATATAATCATTTTTAGTAGTCTGGTCCTCAGGATCTTAGGACAGTGTTTAGCCGTGGGCTAACTTTGTGATGTTCCATGGTGGTTGTTGATCGCTGGCTGCTTCAATCCACACCGTCTCTGCTCACATTGTGTTCTTGATCTTGGAGCAGTAGAAGATCAAATGTCGTTGCAGCATTGGTTAAGGAAAAAATATCTTCATGACGAAAATAAATAAAATGAGAGATTTGTGCGGTTAATCTTCAATTAATTTATATAACTCTTGGTACAACAAATATTTACCCTCCCTGCATTAACCTCTCTAATGATACTGGGCTTGTCTAAACTTTTGAATGTCTGGGTTCAAAGTTTTTGAATCAGGAATTTTGGTTGGCAGTTGATGTGGATTTCAGAGGCACTCAATGTGGGATCTCTACCCAAAGTCCATGATTTACCCAAAGTCATCTTCTTATATGCACTTTGGCCCAAAACTGGCATGGGGCCAAAGGGTTCTGGAAATTTGGTGATTCCCCAATTTTCATTAATTCAACTAAATGTTTTTTTTGTTCTCTATTTCTGCTTTCTTAATTATTTTTCCGAATTTGGAGAATTATCCACCTTCTTTGGTAGTAGTCACAGGGATTCTTCTCCCTTAACTCCAACCTACTCTACTTCACAACTCACGCTGCTATTTCACATAAGCAGGGCCAAATTCTGCTCCTTCCTTCTTTCCACGCATTCAAACCCATCCCACTTCCCAGGCATGTATAACTGTCTTTGTGACAAATCTAATTTTTAAAGTGCATAGGTGGAAGAGCAGAGTTCCATTCCAGCCATTGATTTTAATTCTCTGAATCATTTCTATTTTCCTGTAGCTATCTCTGTCCAACAAAAATACAAACCAGACCACCTATGACAGAATTTGTTTTCATATCTCTAGCCTTAATCATACAGTACACACAACCTGTTAAGAGAAATTTGTTCTTATTTTAACCTTAAAAATGAGAGATAAAAATTATTTCCCAAATATGTTTTCATCAATAAAAATATATTTGTTTACCTAAATTCTCAACAAAGAGACTCTTTGTATACCATCCCTGGCTGGTCGGCATCTCTGCAAAAACTTGAACCAGATCACCTTGGCACCTTGTTTGAGTCAACAAAAAAATAGGATTCTCATCTACTTTTCTTTTTGTTAAAGTGTTTTTTTCTAATTTTTCCAGGAAGAGATAAACTTATTTCCCAAGTCAGTTTTTGACCACATGCCAGACTCTCAATAGATTAGAAAAATAAACTTTTAAGAAAGAAGAAATCTAGACATCCCATTCTCACCAAGGAAAATGTTTCCATTCTCTCTCTCTCTCTCATATTACATTTTGGATTAACACTTCTCTTTTCCTGCTTAGAATTAATGTTTAATCACTTCACTGCCTCAGTGTCACATCAAGAAAGGTATGAATCCCTCTCTTCTCTCCTCAGCTAGAGATTAATATCAGGTCAGACTGGGCTCTAGCATTGGTTTGGCAACTAGTCTAGGAAAAGGTCATTCAAAACTGGTTGGATATAGGGTGACCAGCTCTACTGTATAAAAACCTCTTTGCTACAGAAATCATGGCAGCAACACTTAGTTTGGTGAGGCTGTAGCTTTATAATTCACGCAGAAGTTTTTTATGTGCTGTGTCCCTTCAGAACGTGGGCGATTATGGCTCTCCACAACTTCCTATCCTTTGTAGCTTGTCTTTTCACCATCCTTCTCAATCCTTGTTCTACTCTCCATTTACACAAGCTTGTCAAGTAGGTTACTGTTTCGTCTCTGTCTTTCTTGCTTCAATATGTTCTGTGAGTGCCAAATTACCTAAGCCCTTTTTCCTCATTATGTGTCCCAGAAATTTCAACCATCTCTTTTTGATTCTAAATTTGTGTCCTTTTTATTTCCATTTTCCTTAAAACTTCCTCATTACTCACATGTTCATTCTATTCTCAGCACCATTCTGTAGAACTACATTTTTAATACCTTAAGTCTCTTCTTCATTTCTGAAGAAATTGTCTCTCATTTTATTGTCATATAGAAACCCTGATATTACACTTCACTTTAGCCAAAATATTTTTTCTGTATTTATAGGCCTTTTCTGAAACATTTTCATCTTGTTTTCTTTGTAGATCTCTGCTCATGCCTGGCTCTGGTCTCTGGCTTTTCACAGTAGGGATACAGCCTTCACAGAGGTGGGTACAATATTTTGTAACTATTTGCTTACCAACTTTTCCAACAAGCATTTTATTCTGATCAAACTTGAAGATGTGCTTTCTTTCAAAACTGATGTTCAGCATATTTTACATCAATAAAAAAAATTGGGTAACATAATATGAATAATTTTGAATCCTCTTATGGGATTTTTTTCAGTTTTGTTTAATCAATGTATTCTCTCATCAACAATTAATAATTCATCATGATATCTTTATAAATCTTTTGTTATTGATCCTGCAAAATCTGATTGCTAACCACTATTTTTCTTTCTGCTATGGATAAATGATTTTTGTTTTGGCTTCTAAAATCATTAAAGATTGGTCATATAATGTTTCTTTTTTTTATGTACCAAATAAGTGGAAACATTTATTTGGCACATCAAATGAGAGGGGGTCATTGCTAATGGTTTAAATTGAGTTGAAAACTACTTATTTTCTTACCAGATTTTCTCCATCTTGTAATTTCTACCCTTTTCAACATTTCATGGTTGATGACTTTTTTGATGCTGATTCCTAAAGTAATCAAGGTAAAGATAAAGTCATATTATCCAATGTAACTCACTCTCATTCTAGCCTTTCAGTCAGATAAGTAATGGGACTATAGTAATAATCAGCGAGGTGATGAGAATGTAGTAATAGCCAATAATAACTCAGTGTGCAATAATAAAAATGAATATGATGATGGAGAAAAGAAAAACTAGTAATAAAAAGTACAGATTGCAATGGAAATAGCTCCCACATATAGCTCCCAGAAATACTAAGACAGTAAAAGGTATGTCTGCAACACCTTGTATAATTTTCTTTATGAGCAGCTGTACTCAAATTTAAGTAAATCTTTAGCAACTCCATTACTGACATAAATTTGACTCGAACCACTCTAGGAAAAAAAATGTAAAATTAAATGAAAATAGTTATTAAATATATTATTTTATACTGATTTTACCAATTCTAGTAGTTTAGTTACATTGAAAATTCTTTGTTATTAGCTCCAAGTATAAAAGAATTAAGCAACTTTAGTACTAATTATTGTGCAAAAATCAAACAACCAAAGTATTGGTAAAAAATCTTTGCTTATTAAAAAAATGGTGTAATAGCAATAATGAATTCTATTTTATTGTTTTTTTTTTTTTAATCATTCACCCCCCCGGCAAAGAAACAAAGCCAACTAAAAAGCAAAAGGGTACTAAGTGTGAGAGAATATGAGAGAAAGAAAATGTTAAGAACAGGAATTGAGAAGACAGAAGATAACAAATGCCATTGTATTTAAATTTTTCAAAATCAAGGTTGACTGGGAAGCAAGAAGCCAACAGAGAGCTCCACAAACAAGAAGTACATGATAAGAAACTGTCAGTGCAGAACGCATAGTTATATCTAGCCACCTCAACTGCAAAATTAAGAAGCCCTGCTGCCAATCTAGTACTGCACACAAACTTATAAAGTTCAGGTACCAAAGAAAAAAGTTCACCAGAACAATTACCATGAAAACACTTATAGAAAAGGTACACTGAATTCATGCCATAGCAGTGGGAAAGTGACTGAAGCCAAGATGCCAGGTCAGGATCGATAACATTATAGATTCTTCTTTGTATTCTATCAAGAATCTCCAAATAGATAGCAGAAGCCCGACAGACAGATGTGACTCTATATTCAATGCATGGACGAATAGTAGGCATACAAATATGCCAAAATACATCTTTATTTTCTGCTAAAATACATCTTCCTGATGAATCCATATCTTCAAATAAGAGCAAATTCTGGTCATTTGTCTTTTTGTTAGTTGAAGAAAGATATTCTCCAGGTACTGGAAAACATTAGCAAATATCTTATTTTTTTTATTTTATCAGTGGCATCAGAAAAGCCTTTTCTTTTTGCATTATAGTTGTATATATTAAGAAACAAATTTTAAAATAGTCATTTATAATTTTTATTTTTTTATTTTTCAGATGATGGATTACTTTTGTGCTTTCTTTTTAATCGTTTTTAACTTGTTCCTCTGTTTATGCCGGTTTGTATTCATTGCTTTTTATTCTTCAAAATTAATTAAATTCTTTTAGTCATGTCTAAAAATAAAAATGGCAATTTAATCTACTTCTGATTTGTGACTTTCTTTTTTTCTTTTTTCTTTTTAATTTCAAAAATAGAATTATTTTATAACACTCTATTTCAATGTGTATTTCTCAATGCACATTTGAATATATAAACAAATATTAAAACAGATATTTAAAACTGGTCAATGTACTTCTTGAATGCAGACAGAACTTTAACATTGTGAATCCAAATTTGACATTTTCATTTTATTTTGCATGAATCTCTTGTCAAATTAGTTTTGGCATCATGAGTTTTTTTTTTCTTACCGTAACATATTTAATCAAAATACTATTTATATTTCTGTCTTCTGTTAGAATTTGTGAGAGAAGCAATGATCATTAATTGATCTGGACTAATATCCCCATCTTTGTTGTCATAGTTGCAATGTTATGGCTGTTAAACCTTTTTGCCCATCTGCATTATTGTATTGATATACTAGAAAGACAAGCTCAACTTAATAAAAAGTAACAAATACTTTAAATGCTGGTAGAATAAATTTAATAGAAAAGATGAAAAAACAAAACTAAAAGCATTTATTGCACATTGATTTATTTGGGTCATTTTTCTCCTTGTTAAAATTTGTGTTAAATACACAATTGTGGTATTTTTGTTATTTTTTTTCTGTTGCAATGTTGGTGGCACAAAGCAGTGTGTCAATGAAATTCAGCTGCAACAATTAGGGAAGCAGTTGCAAAGGGAACCATGCTTGACAACAAGATGGCAGCATAGGAGGCAATAAGTGGATTATGTTTAAAGTCAGTTCTACATTCAGGATTGTTTCACAGGACAATAGGCTAGAAAATTAAAGTATTGGTTCTTGGATTTGGTAACAGAGTAATTTGGAATTCGATCCCTGAGCTGGTTAGTACAGAGTCAGGCAAAATAAAACAAACAATAACTGAGCAGTACGAAAAAAAAAAAAAAAAAATTAATAAATAAAAAAGGTGGGGTGTTGACAGTAAAACAAGAACAATCTACCACTGTAGATTAAATAAATGATTCAGTTTGAAATTTTCTAAAGATTACCTTGATTGATAGATACCTGAAAAGGGCTGAAAGGCAAAACTGCCAAAATGTGATAGTAACAAGGATGAGGACATTATTACTGTGTGAATGTAAATGATATAATACCTAATTCTTTATCTTTTTACTGTAGAAAAATAAATTGTCTTAATTCATCAAAGATTGCCATTTCGTTTAAAAAGATAAAAAATTGTTCTCACCACATTGAAAATTTATGAAGTTGTAATTTGTTCTTGTCTATAATTTCAGTGTCATTGGAACTGAACACTACATCTTTTTGTCAGCGATATTCATCGGCCTTGTCTCATTCTGTAGCAGTCATTTTTATTACATGGCCTACATCAAGTTTGATTATAGCTACAACATGTTTATTTGTTCTTGTATTGGTGAGTTTAATATTTTCTTTTTTGAAATGAAAATCTATTTTTACCTCTCTTGAAAATAACTTCTCCCCCTCCCCTTTATTCCTTATTGTAATATTCCGATTTTTAATTCATAAAATTGACCATGTATTAAGTTTTAGATATCAGGCGGTAGGTTTCATCACCTGAGATAAGACCTCCACTACACACCAAACCTAACCCATCCCCTGATCAGTTTCTGTATAAGAGGACCAACTGTAAAGATTACATAATATTTCTTTATTTAGAAAGGAAAAAATGTATTTAAATCTTGCATAATACTCTTTGCCCAGCTAATTAAAGACATCTAAAATTACAGGTAACTCTTTGCCACTGAACTGTATCAGAGAATCTCTGCCAAACATCTCTTGGAGAAGTAAAATCATTGAAACATATTCTAAGTGCTAAGGCGATCTTGAATGTTTTGTTCCCCACTCCAAAAATGAAGAGTCAATTTCTATTTAAAGTCTAGATTTTTAAAGAAAAATAGTTTCCTCACTGACTACTTTATTATTATTATAAATATAATACTTAATGGGTACACATGTTTGAGTAGACATCTTTTTTGATAGTGGAATTAACATCTCTTGGATATTCACTGATAGTTTAAACTAAAGAAAATGTGTGTTTATCACTCTTTTTTTTTATCATTCAGTTTCAAGAAGCCATTGCTACTGTAAATAGAAAACTCCTGTGACTGAAGTATTTCTTTGTGCAATGAAAGTTTTTCAAAAATATTTCTCTCTCTCTGATTGTATCATTCTATTTATTTCAGGTTTTACCCAGTCCATGCTGTGGGGAGTTTGGTGTTTCTTACACAAACGAGAACAGCCATATGTGTGGAAGTGTTTAGTTGTGTTATGTCTGACCAATATGCTCTTAACATTAGAACTGGGTGATTTCCCTCCAATTTTATGGATGTTTGACGCTCATGCACTGTGGCATCTTGGAACAATTCCTCTGGCAATATTATGGTACAGGTAATGTATTCTCTTTTCTAACAGACTTGGCTGTTATAAAGCAATTCTTTAAAAAAAAAATCCATACTGCCTTTGATGATATCAACAAAAAACCTTACCCTATCTTTTGCATGATTTGTTGGGCCATAAGAAAGTAAGAGAATTGACTGCAGTATTGTTTCTCACATTGATGTTTTTTTTTTTTTCTACTTGTTATGCAAGTATTGTTGGAATCGGTCTACCCAGGTTTTTGTTGCGGTCTGAGTGTCAGAATTCCAAACATTTAACAATAAAACATCTTTTAAATAAAACACATAAAAGGTTATTTTCTGAAGGAAAAGTAGAAGCAGAACATCAGTTGAAATAACATTTATATATTCTTTTCAGAAATATACAATAGCAATAAAATAGTGCAGTGTGAACTGTGTGAATAGACTTGGCTTTATGATGCCCAGTCTAATGTGTTGGTGAGTTTGTAGACATACTTAGTAGGTGGTTGCTGGTTAATCTCTTGTATTGTGTGTATGTATGTGTAGATCAAACTGGCCCCTGAAATTGTTGTGAGCCTTTAAAAGAAGTATGCTTCTGTTTTTATATCTGGAAGGGAGATCTAAAATACTATTTCACATAGAGGTATGAACTTTTTGAAAACCAGGTTTTCATTGGTTAGAAAATAATTTCACATTGGCTTGCAAAGGTCTTTTTCTCGAATTTCTGGTAGTGGTGAAAGGAGTTATAATTGTTATTTTTTTAAATGGCCCAAAAATAACATAGGGTGGGTCTACAGTTACGTCTACAAGTATTTTGGCAGTATTTGTTCTTCTAATAATTGTTTATCAAACAAAACTTTCTGATGGGATTTTATTGTTTGAAAAATATATATCTATATAGAATTCAGTTGCTATAGTATCGATCTTGAAGGATAATGATGTCTAAGTCTCATCTGTACAAAGTACTTCTCTTATTTTCAGATTTGCTTTGATATCATTCTGAAAAACAGTTTGCATTGTTGCCATTACTTAACCGGTCCACTTAAAAAAAAAAATAATCTGGAGTAGGTGCATAATTTTTATAGATTAGCATTCATTAGACTTTCTTTTACTGATAATATTTCACAAAATTGAAAAATATTGATTTTAGAAGGGGTCCTATTCATTATATCAATACTGTGTCAAATCGATTTACAAATGTCAAGTCTGAAACTGTTTACGTCATTGATAACTGCATACTATTACAAATTGGAAAAAAGGATAACATCAGTTGATAAATGTCTATTACTGATGTTCTTTTTCATAATTTGGGGGCCAACCAACAGGCCACAATACCAAGGTTCGTTCCTGTTTAGCATCGACAAGAATGACTTGACCCAAGTGTATAATTGCTACTGATGTTGGTATTATTCAATAACCTAAAAGATAAACTTATATAGTTTCTCATTTATTTGGCAAACCCAGTAGACGTAATCATGATGAATAAAAATTTGGTTGCATTTGCTAAATATATCCTACTTTTGATATAACGTCAAATAAAAGCCTTGTCTGCACATGTATATCTCTATTGATAGTGTGTTTGTTTTCCAAGCATACAGTGCAGAAATCATTTTCCATTTTTTTTATATAATAGTATTTCTATGTCCAGTTCACAATCCTCCCTGGTCTTTGAACAAAAGTAGAAGTTTGTTTCCTGTTTAGAATTGGGCTTCCTGCTCCTTCTAAAGTCTACTTCAGTTCTATACTTCTAATGTCTCCAATTAAACTCTGAAATTTTATTTACTATTTTTTTGTTAATTTTTTCCTCAATAAGATTATATAGGTTTGCCTCTCATCTGATTCACACACCTCCCTGGTCTTTTAAACAGGAGTAGAGGATTATCTCTTGTTTCCTTTTTAGGTTTGGGTTTCTGATTCTGTATTTTTCATTCTCTTTCACTCACAGTAGCCCCATGCATCTTAGTGGCATTATTTCCTTTCTTGGGGTCAGTTGATTAAAAGAAAAATGACTATGTTGTCAATGTTGATGGCTTAGATTATATAGAATTGAATGACAAACAGCATTGACTTTGTAGAGATAAATCATGAATCGTTGTTCCATGTTGGCTTCCCTTTTGGATATAGGGATTTGCTTAGCATGTAACATAATGGATAGTAAAAAGGGACCCTGTTCCATATTTTGCAGTCAGACTATTTAAGTTAAAAAAAATGTGGCTGGATAGAATCTTTTATTTATACATGTACATTTCAGGAAGCAGTAAAAGAAAACCTACAGCTTATAAAAAATGCCAGTAATAGACAAGTCCATCTTCTATACAACAGTAAACTTACTCAAAATTTAACTATTCATATCCAGTAATGAATTTGTTTTTTGTTTTACCTTCTTGGTACTAAATATTTAATTTTCTTCAGTATTAAATTTGACAAAAATATCTTAAAAAAAAAAAAAAATCATCTTAATAATTGGAACAATGCCAGCAGCATGTAAGGTTTTGGCTTAAAGATTCTTTGGCTAAAATAATTTGTATTTTTGAATATCAGATTGTTGTAATAGTTACTTGTTTGTTTTGTAGTACCTCTTTGCTGATTTGTTTTTAATTTCTCTTATTTCAGTTTCCTCATTGATGACTGCTTACACATGCTAAAGAAGAAACGTATTGTATGACGATGCCTCAAGATTGACCGAGGTTTCCCTATTTAATTACCTGTTATTTTTCTGGTACAAATTCAAAAATCTTCATTTTGGAGGTTTCTCCATCCCCTTCAGTCCTAACCTCAAAATTCCCCACCTGTTTGAATTTTTACATTTCATCAATAAGAAGTGGTGCATGATGTATATTGGATTTAGAATGTGTCAGAAAATGTGTCACTTCTTTTATGGTTTTGTGATATGGAATATCAGTGTCCCCACTCCTTTCTTTTTTTTTTTTATAAATATTGGCAGGCAGTAACATGCCCCTTGAAACAACTCATAATGAACATTATTTACTGGTTATTGGAAATGGCCCTTGACAGTCTTCAAAGGAGTTGCATTGCAAAACTTTCTTGGGTTCTCTGAAATAATGTATCAGATTAGAGCCAAGGGAGGTAAATGCATTGGGATAATATAAGCTGCCAACATCTTGACAGTTATTAAAAATAAAACAACAAAAAAACAATAACATTATTAAATGTAACGACATTTTAAAGCACTCCTGAAGTACAATATTATAAGATCCATCCATGTATCAACTTAGTGGCATTTTTATTTTGACCCCCCCCACGATTCCCAGGTTCTCTGGTTGTTATCAGGTAACATTAATATTATTCAACCAGGAACATTTTTCTTCTCTCTCCCTAAATGCCACTTGTCTAGCCTCCAATCAAATGTGAATAGTCAATTTCCCTGCAACATATCAGGGGATGTTGAGATGTGAAAAAAAAATGCAAAATATCCATTTAAGAACAAAATCAAAGAATAATTGCTTTTTGTTTCCTTGTTTAAAAGGAAAAAAATCAAAATGCCTTTTGTAATCTGTAAATGCTTCATGCAAATTTTTCTTTTTTTGCTCCCAGTTTTTAATGTAAATTAATCTTTTCTTGTTGCTCTGTCCACAGGGCATTACCTTCCTTGTACTTCACAACATTTCTACCCAGAAACTGTATTAGCAAATGTGCCAATTAATAATATCAGAATTATCTGCTTGATTTATGCAAAGAAATATCGCTCAAGCATACACACAAGCAGATGTTTGAGAAGACGCTCTTTCAAAAAGAATGTTACTTATTTTTTTTTTTATGTTAAGCAAAGCAATATTTCACAGGTTTTCTGCTTATTTTTGGCTTTAAAGTTTACCTCGTAAATTTTAATTCCACTAGAATATCACCGCCTATTCCAAGCTTTGTTTAGAAAATTTAACTTCTTATATGGGCTGTTAAGGTTATTACAAAAAAAAAAAAAAAATCATTCAGTTGCTATCTATTTCATTCTGAAATGCAAAAACTCCCAAATAACAGTTACATTCTTAATATCAATTGAAGTTAAGAATTGTTAAAATTCTTGTAATATACAATCAAGTTTTAACAATTCTTTTAAGCACCAGCTGACTTCTGTGTTCCTAACACAATATCTCAACTTAGTTGCTTTTAATTTACCTGCTTCTCTAACATTGCAAATATTTTTTCATCTAAACTTTTTAAAGATAAATCATTTGGTGTGAAGCTGTTTTACAAGAGTGTATGTTAATTTTCAGCTAAAATTTTTTGCTGTACAATCCAACACTGTTCTTTTACTGTTAAAAAAAAACAAACTGTTCAGCTTCAGTGCCATAATGTGTTGAAGGCACACAAACTAGAACTGTTGGTTCTACCATGGCCATGTGAAGATATTAAAAACAAAAAAAAAAGCTAGAATATGGAAAATGAAAGAAAAATATCAACTAATATATCTAAGAAGATATTTATGTGCATACAAATATTATTATGCTACAATCTACACTCATTATCTGGATTTGATAACATTTGAGCAGCTACTATTATTATTATGACTATCACCAACAGAATTTCACAGTACAAGCTCCTTATCAATGTATAGGACATTTATCTTTCTTATTTTCCCATTTTAACTGTGTGTGCTTTTTTCCTTTTCATAGCTGCATTATTGGAGTTTTTTTTGTCTTTATACATACATATGTCTGCATGTGTGATATTTGTGTGGGTGGAGTAATGGATAGTAGCCGAGAATGAGAAATCGGATAGCTGAGTTTGAATTCCAGTCATTTATTGCATTCACTCATGTGCAAATACCCTTGGGTAAGGTGTGAATCTAGCTCTTGGCCTCCCTCTAGCAATGGGCTAAATAGTATGACAGACTGGGCTCTTTAGCCTTGGTTGATAACCAGTCTAGGTGAAGGAAAACTCTGAATTCAAAACCTGAGGAGAGTTGTTTTGAGACCTTGGGGTATGCTATATGCACCATTTATCTATATTATGCTCTTCCAAAAAGTGTGGTTGGTTTTGCACAAGCCTTCACCATTAATCAAATCATGTGCCGTTAGTCTGGCTGATCAGTTCTAACAACTGAGCTGGTGGACCCTCATATATCAAAAACAATGGGAGAGTCCATTATCAATTGATAGAACTAACAGAAAATGTTAAACCTGGTATTATTATAACGGTGGTTATAGGAACATTTACAAGTTGCTCCCTTCTTGAAATAATTTTAATGAAAATAAAGGCACCATGGTTATTATGATAATGGATAAAAAAAATGTAAAAATCCCTTATTTCCATCATATAAAATATTTTGATTTATACTTAATCTATCAGTTGACAAAATTTGATAAATGAAATCTTGATTTGTTTTTTTTTTACAGAACTGTGAATTTTAACTATTGTGTGCAAGTTAGAGGGAAAATATATAGTGTGTGTGTGTGAGATCCTGAAGAACCATTAGGTGAAAACCTTGGTAGGTAGGTTCTGGCTCACTAGGTTTTATATATATATATATATATATATATATATATATATATATATATATTATGAAATGGACTAAGTTTGACAGTTATTTTAATTCAAGAGAAATCATGGGAAATTTGTTTGTTTAAAAACAGTAATTTGACTTTGCTAACCACATGCTTCCTCTGCAGCTAAATGGTATGGCATGTCAGGCCAAGTGATGGTTGCATGTAGGGTACAGGTTTGATTCCTGTTGAAGGACACATATTTTCTACAAAATTTCTCAGACATTCAGGCCAGTAAATGTAGTTAATACTGTTTATTATAAACAGAGCATTTACTTAAATAACTGTATGTATAAAAATAACATATAAACAGAAAATATATTAAAATATATTATTAATATAAATTTTAGCAGTTATACATCAAGCAGTATTTTATTAGCACCAACACTCAAATTTACAATCTAACTCTATTGCTTGGTGAAAACTGGAACAATGTGCAAAAATGGGTAAATTTGTTTCAAAATTAATGTAATGCTTCATATTGCAAATTCTTCTCTTTACCATTTGGTTCATTTTTATACAAAAATCCTATTTTAAATTGAATGCTCTAAACTTTGCCTTTCTTAAATGAAGCATTTTAATTCTTTGTTTTCAGCTAGTTTCTCTTTCCATCTTTTTAAAATGTAGCTATATGATTAAATTTGAATTTTGCCTGCAATTGGGTGTCTGTAGACAAATTGGTAAGCCAGTGTCTGTCTCAGACATATTGTTAAAGGTACAGGAGGCAAGTTTAAATCTTGTCAGAAGTTGTCTTTTTTCTTTTCTTTTTTTTCACTGATTCTGCTGCTGCGTTGTTAAACATCAAAATCACTAAAGGATGAAAAGAAAAACTAATCAAAAAATAATTATGATCTCGACTTGTCAATTTCTCTTATCTAATATATTCTCAAATAAACATATATTGACAGACAGACAATTAATAAAAATTCCACCTGAGATAGTGTTATTCATTTAAGTATATCTGAGTGGGTATTTCCAAAATGCCAATTAATGTCCAAATTAAATATTAATTTCTATATCAGTTTAGTGTTTCTTAAACTTGTATATGCATTAATTTATTTATTTTATTTTTTAAAGACTGGAGGAAAAATTCTGAAATAAAAAATTTGAATTTTTCCGCCTGTCTTTTTAAATAAAATTATTGCATTTGATTCACTCTGCACAGTTGGTCTTTGAAACGTATCACAGATGACGCAGGTTACCTGAAAAGTACCTGGAAAAATACTGATTGAAATACTCTAAGATTAAAATACCTTAAAATGAAAAGAATATCAATTTGCATGTAAGGAATGTTTTGTTTTATTAACTTTTTACTACTTTATTTCAAAAACTTTACTGCTTAGTTTACTAATTTTTTTAGCTATCTCTCTCTTTTTTTCTTTTTTTTTTTTTTCCTTCTTCCAATTAGGAAGACATTCCTATAAATTTATAACATCACTGTTTATGGTGGCATTAAGTATATCTATCGGCAAACAAGAGATGAGAGGCAAAACCAATGAAGTAGACATTGAATTTTCAGTTTTTTCTGAAATTTCTTCAGATTATTGAACTTCTTGTGTTTCTTTTACTATTACCACAAATTAAACCCACTACCTCTCATTCTTTTTACTATTTTTCTATTTCTTTACAAAAATAATACTCCTCTCTTTCCTATGGATTGGCTGGAATATTGTGTTAACAACAAAAGCAAAATAAAGACTGGAGTTTTAATCTGAACAACTTGTAAAATGATGACACTTCTTAAAATTTATGGACAATATTTTTCTCTATCTTCTAACCAGATGTACTATTAGTCATATTCATGTTACAGACATTTCTCTCTTGCCCTTCCTAAAGTAATCTTAACGGTTAGATTTTGTTAATCATTTAAAACTTGAAAGTTTTTAAATCTGTTCAGAGAACTAATAAATGTTCATTCTTGAGATCTTAACAATATCCAAGATGCCTTTTCTCTTTTGATGATTGATTCATATACTTGTAAAATCTGCATTAATACAACAATATAAACATCTTTTAGTGATTATTAATATTTTTAAAATGTTCCTTTATATTAATTAACTAATAATTGTTTTGGTTCACTTTTCTTTTCTTTTTTTTTTATATCCAAAAAAAATGGCTTAAAAATGAAGAGACAAATCAATGCATTTTGAATAAGTGTGTCTTC